CGTACCACACGTGGCGGAGAAGCTTGAGCAAGGATTTGGCGCCGATGGACAAGGACAACGGTGAAGAGCTAGCAAGGTTGCGATCGATGAACCAAAGATCACATGATGATATGAAGTGGATCATATCATTCAAGGAAGATCAAGCCAAGTGTTGATTCATGATGATGATCAAGAGGCTTGATGGAGGTTGGTGCTTATGTAGCATCAACATTGGAGGAGATGAAATGGAATGCGAAAGGCTAAGGTATAACTTTTAGGGCATTTCATTTCACCGGTCATAGGTGTGTAGAGAAGTATATGACCGGGTTTAAGATAGATGACCGTACTATCAAGAGGTGCAAACTTGTTTGCATGTCTATCATCTAGTGCCACTTGGGCGATCTAACTTTTGCATCTGTGCTAGGATCGAGCGACATGGAAAGAGCAAGTGAAAATCCTTTAGAAAATATTTGTCAAACGCTAACACACGTACACAAGTTGGTGGAACACTTGGTGGTGTTGGCATATTTGAAAAGGAGGCGGAGAAGTGCTCTCGGTGTAGCTACTCAGCATGCACCGGTCGTGTCAGGTGCACACTGTTGAATTTCTTATGCTCATGTAGAATATTCCGCAAGCGAACAAAATACTATTGTAGCATTTCACCTAGGAGTATTCCAGTGTATCGTATTTATCCACAGGGAAGCAATGGCTAAAGAAGTTGATAGTTAACCATCACGTATCTACTAACTAGTATACCGACTAGACTAAAGTGGGAGTAAGTGATATACGATAAGATAGGGTTACACTCAAGAAGCTCTACTCATGGAAAAGTAAAGTGATAGTGTACCTAAGAGGGAGAGCAGTGAGTGAGAGAGAACACAAGAATCTTGAGTTACTTCTAAACAAGCACAACTCTAGCCATGAACTATGGTGATACAGATAAACCAAGAAATAGAGGGATTTGCATGCACTTCAGGGCACACGTTCCCTAAACTCACCCAGAGGGTTGATTAGGCACAACAATGACATGACCCTACATTTTAATAACTAGACTCAACGTGGTGGAATACAGAGGATGGATAAGGCTATCACCACCTGCCACCAACCACAATCTATCCGGAGGCCTAGCCATAAACACAGGCAAGCTATAGCCTAAGCACCATGCTTAATCTATAGACTTACTACTCTGATCTCGATCCCGATGAAATAAGATCAGAGCATCTTAACCGGATGGTGTTCCCACACATGATGTAACCACACTAAACAAGGTAGTTAAGGTATCACTAGAGCATAGCTAGAGAACAAGACTAGTACTCAAAGTAACAAGACTTGAATAGTACTTTCGTAGAAAGTAATATATTGAAATGAATAAAGTATTACAAGAGAGATACAAAGCTATACCAGACTCTTGAAGACCGCTCTAGACTCTAGGCAGAGTCCCTCTTCACTCTAACTCCCACTAAGGCTAACACTAAGACTACATCTTGAGAGTAGAGAGAATTTCTCTTGTGGTGGGGGGTTACAAGTGAGGGGTGAGGGTCTATTTATAGTGGAGAGGTGGAGTAGGGGCTACTCCATCACCACGTCATTGATCCGTGGAAGGGCATCTCCACACCCTTGGATGAAATCGCCAATGAAACTGCCTCAAATCGATGCATAGGATTGCTCCATTTTGTGCTTTCTTTTATGTGTCCGAAGGAGAGGTGGTAGAGTGGAAGTGAGGCGTCGGGCGACGCCCCTTGGCGTCGGGTGACGGGCCACTGCGGAGTGGGCCCTCCTCCTTCGGTGGGGTGGCTCCATGGGTGCATGGAAGCATGGGTATGCAGCCCCCAAGTAAAATTGAGCACCGACATATGCGTGATGGACCCAACAATCCATGTGATGTTTCATTTGAGCCTTTGATCTTGCACCAACTTGGGATCAACGGTGGAGAGAACTTGGGAGTGTGTTTCTTGCACTTGGGTTGGATCAGTGACGTGGCAGGGCTAGGTGGGGCATTGGGTGACGCCATGTGGGGTCGGTCGACCCCACCAAGTGGGCCCAAGCCTTCCTGCCACGTTCACTTGACTTCCTTGCACTTGTTTTGTAACATTTTGTGTATTTTTCCTGCATAGGCTATGTGGCACTAGATAGGGTATATATAGAAATCATATATGCACCTGACATGGCCGGTGTGGCACTAGCTACCACACCGGATAGAGAACTCAGAGATGTTATTTTTCAGCACATGAAGTCATATATACACCTGACATATCTAGTATATATATGACCGGTGCACCGGCTCTCTGACAACGCGTAATGGCTAGTTTTTTTAACATTGGATATAGCCATTATATATGCACCATACATGTCTGGTGCAGGTGGTCGGTGCACACCTATATAGCCGGTGTACATGTAACGTGTGCAGTTTTAGCCCAACGGGTAGTTTGGCCTTTGGGGCTATAAATAGAAGGGAATGTTGGCCTTGGCTGAGGACGAGCACCCTTGGGACTTAGTGTCCATGCTTGGGGAGTGCTAGAGAGCCTCTAACTCACTTGTACTTGTAGTGATTGCATCCGATTGCGAGTGAGTTATTCTAGTGCGTTGCATGTGAGATTGCAAGGTGTGGCACTAGGTGATCGAGTTGCAAGCCGGTGGTGCTTGTTACTCTTGGAGGTTGCCACCTCCTAGATGGCTTGGAGGCTTGTGTGCTCTGTTGTAGCACGCTCGGAGATTGAGCGGTGCTTCGAAAGCGACCGCTTTGTGAGGGGTGTTGTGCTCCGTTGGTTTGCTTACTCCCAGCACAAGCTTGTATTTACTCTTTCATATATTGTACTTGTGTTGTTGCTCTTGTGTAGCTATCTTGCTTGTGTAGCATAGTTACAGCTCCCATGAGTAACTAGTTGGCTTGTATAGCCTTGCTAGTTACATTGCTTAGTTTGTGTAGCTAAGTAGCTGTTGAGCTCTCTAGTTTGGCTTGTATAGCCTTGCTAGTGAGCTTAGGCTTTGTGTGTTTTGCATACTAGTATGTGTAGGAGCTCCCCCCAGTTGCTTGAGCACTAGTGGCATAGGTTTGTGTGACCTTATAAACTAGAATTGCTTAGGTGAGCTCTACCTAGCCCGACACCTTAGTTGCTCGAATTAGAATCTTTACAAGGTACTTGAAAATATAGATAGAGAGGTGTAGTCTTGGCTAGACCGATTAGTTTAATTCCACATTTGTTTTGATTAGCCGACGCTTTAATTTTTAGAAAGGACTATTCACCCCCCCCCCCTCTAGTCCGCCATCTCGAGCTATCGATGTCATGGGTTGCTCACACTAGTGTACCTGTTAACTAATCCCTGTGTATCTCAACATAAACACATATTAGTCTACCTAGATTGTCACTATTGCCAAAAATCAAACAAGGACTTTTCAAAGGTTCAGGAGGAGTTTTCTCCTGAATTATAACATGTTCAAACATCATGTTGTACTCTTTTCCTTCTATGAGTTTTCCTCACAAAGGTTTCTCATAAAAGGTTTTCAATGAGGCAATATCAATACAAGAATAGGTCATATTTTCTATTTTCCCCATTGAGGTTTTTATGGGAAATATCAGACACATATTGCCCTCACAACTCATCCATGGTTTTTCATGAAAAGGTTTTTCATGTGAGTTATCTAAGAGGCAGTAACAATAATATGTCGCCACATTTTCTCCTGATTTTCCCACTGGGTTTTATAGGAGTTTTAGCAGCATATTACTTTATATTGCTCCTCACATTTTTTTGAAAGGTTTTTTTGGGGAGTTATCTTTATGTTGTATCTCTAATATTTTTTTCCACTGAGGTTTTTAATAGGATACCAATGACATAGTGGTTTATTTAAATCACACATAAATATATTATTTTCTCCTTACTTTCCAATAAGGTTTAAAGGAGTTCTTATGGCATATCTATATATTCCTCATATTTTTCCATTGGGTTTTTCGAGGAATTTCAGCTAGCAGCTGCATTGATCTCAAGGAAGATTCGATCAAGGAGAGTGTTGTGAAATGGCGCCTGTTCCCAACAGGCACCTTTTTCAAGTGGTGATCTCATCCATTCACAAGAGCAGTTAGAGATAGGATTAGTTAGTTAACCATGTCTCTTATTGGACATGTCCATTCATCCAACTATTGTCTCTTCCCAAACTGTTCTCTCTTTCCAATAGGTGTCTGTTCAAGACACCCATTCATATGTATAAATATATTTCAGAGATCAATGGAAACTGTTGTCTCTTCTCAATAGGTGTTTGTTCAAAACACCCTTCCATATGTATAAATATATTTCAGATATTAATGAAAGTTACAGTTCTTCCAATCACTTTCATTTACATTCATTTCTAACAAAAAAAACTCAATGTTCGAGAAAACCTTCGAACCTTGGCTTTTACCTTTGTTGATGAGAGGAATTTTTTAACACTAGCCCTGTAAATTTGCACTAGGATTCAAACCCGGGCCTGCTAGATGCTACGCTAAGGGCCCTCTTCGCAAGGTTGCTAAGTACACCTACTCGTACAGGCAGGCTACTGCATGCCGGCCCGGGCGGCACCAAGCTCTAAAATCTCCATGAATCAATCATTGCAATCGTGGGGGTATTACTGTATAATAAGCCTCTGTACTCTGTATCTGAACACACATACAAACCACACCCACATGCTTACCGCTCACCAAGATCACCCAAAGTGGGAACGCTCAATAATACTTCCTCCGTTCCAAATTACGAGTCGCTTGAAATTTTTTAGTACATCCATTTTACTATGCATCTAAATAAATAATAATATGTCTAGATACATAAAAAATGAACCAAAAAGTTAAAACAACTTATAATTTAGAACAGAGAAATTATTAAATAAGGTGGAGAATGAAATAGTATTTTTTGCTAGGCTCACCCCTACCGAGTGCTTAATGGCAACATTCACCAATTTCAAAGCAAGGGAATACAATCACTAAGAGTAGTTGCAACCATCAAAATACTAGTTGTGTTCGATTTTCTGCATCAAATGGCCGGATGGCCGAGCACTAGTCCTCTAGAATCACTTGGCTCATCACTTGTTTAGCTTCATATGCTTCTTCAGCTTCCTTCAAGTAACGGGGCAACTGTCCTAGCCACTTATTCCTAATTCCAAGGGCCCACACAATGTCTTCATAGACTAGCTTGACGGCCTTCGGCTTTAATTTGTCTTTGTATTCTGGTGCATTCTGCAGCAGCTTCTTTAGCTCATCTTCTGAAAAGATCTGGAAAAAAAGCACATTGGCCCATTACCCAAATGACAGGTTTGTCAAATGCACACAAGATTAGAACATATTTGCAAAATACTATGATTTACCTGCCGAGGATGACCAGCTAAAAGATGATCTTCAGGGTAACATACCATCTTGAGAGCGGTGGCAAGTTTAAACAAACTCCAACCCTTAGAATTAATGCCAGATATGTTCTTAAGGTGTTTGCCAGCCTCACGCAAGGATTCAGAATGTTTTTCCACACAACAATCATAGTTATACACGACACATGCCACCTCAATAATACGATCATTAATCTAGATGCAAAGAGCATTTGTTCGTCACTATCAGAAAAGAAACAAAAGCAAAATAAAAATATTTCATCAAAATACTTTGGCCAGTGAAATTCAAGGGCTAATATGCACATAAAGAGTAACAGTACATGACAGGGAGCAACATAAAGCACTTCACATAAGACATATATGGAAAATGGGGTGATGAGCTCACAATCTCTGGTTTGTAGACAAAGTGATATTTATCCAAGACCCTTTTCATTCCTTCACTCATGATGGGGCGATCATCCTTAGTCAGCTCGGCAGGCACTAAATGGTGCATGCAATTCTTCAGGCCCCACATAACCTCCATCACAGTACTATCATGCAGGCAAGATATTTTCTGAAAAAATCCACAGTAAAATTGGTGCTCAAAATTGTTCACAGACATAAGCAAAACAAGGAACTAATACTGACCATGGTTTTTTCGATGATTTCCTTATATTCATGACTTCCTACAGCTAGTTTCTGGTCAGGCTTGATACAGCATCCGATCATCTTCGCAAGTTGTTCATTAACACCAGTATTAGGGTCAATGGCACTGGCCTTATCCTCAAAAGCTTCAAATGCTTTCAGCCAACAAATCTGATAAAGAAATGAACAGAGACATGAATGTTAGGAGGACACATGCAATTAGTGAAATGACATGCCATGTCTTAGCTATAGAGTGGGTAATTCAGTAAGTACATGTGCCTCAATTGTAAAGATATAGCCTTGCTTGATTGAAAACCGACCATAGCGGCATTAGTTGGTAGTAGTGTCATTACCATTTCAGGCCTCAATCATCCCTATCTAGCAGTTACTAGTCAGGAATTCGGGCATGCAAATATCGCCGAAGGTATAAATTTGTACCAACCGCTTCTTTAGATATCTCTTCACACCACTAGTGACCTTTTAGCTAGTAAAATAGTTTTGGGGGAATAAGAATAATACCATCATGCTACATGCTTTCTAAACTGATTAGCATTTCTAAACTGATTAGCATTTCTAACTGATTTATGGCGACAAATTTGCATTCAGAGTCATTAGTAAACAGCTAATGACCACATGACTTCACAATTCTTATCTGATGCAACCAATGAATAAAACAGCAAACATGAATGCTGCTAAAATTGGATACGAGTAACATAGAATAGAAATAACAATAAGGTGGAAAGAAAGAGTTCTAACTGTTTCTGCTATATCACACTTCACGAAATCAGTCCATATGTGCTGCATGTCACAGAGAATAGAGAAAAATGAGGTCAATGGCAAAGACAGAAAGAGCAAACTGCTGCAGATGAATACACAAAGGTAGCCGAATAAACAAAGTTACCTCTATGGCACCTGGCAGAAGGAGTTTCACCCCATCATAACTGAACAACGCAAAGCCAGAGGGCGTTTCAAAAAGGACCAGAATGATCCCATTGTTTCCCAACTCGACACCTGAGGAAACAAAGATTTAAAATAAATTTAGGCAAGCAGAATTAGCAAAGAGAAAGAGAAACATAGTTCGTCCAGATACGAAGCGCGAAGTCAATCTCGTCCAGTTATGAAGGGCGGAGTCAATTGTTCAGAGGCATCAGCCCCAATTCCCGAACCCTAAAACCTAGATCGACTTCAGCAGCCTAACAACGACGTCAGGCTCAATTTCCAACCCCTAACAACTAGATTGAGAGAGAGAGAGAGAGAGAGAGGATGATGGCAGCGGGGCGGTTTGACTCACCTAGCCCGGGGAAGTAGTTCCAATTCTCATATTCCTCCACGTCGTCTTCGTCGCCCTGTTCCAACTCCTCCTCCGACTCTTCCTCCCGGTCCGCCGTTTCCTCCGCCTTCTTCTCCTCCCCTCTTGCCACGCCCTGGAGGGCGAGGCCTTCGCCTTCACCACTTTGCCCTCCCCCCGTGGCGTTGAAGGCAAGGCCTCCTCCGCCTTCACCACTTTCTCCTTCCACCGCGCCTTTGAGGGCGAGCCCTCCGCCTTCACCACCATCTCCTTCCCCGAGCCGTTGAGGGCGCCTCCTGCGCTGTCTAGGGCAAGGCACCGGCCTTCTCCTCTGGTCTCCCCTTAGCCATACAGAAGATGGGCAGCGCGACGGCGCCGGCCGGGGGGGTGGCGGTCGGCTTGGGGCGGCGCGGATCTGGGGCTGCCGCCTGGGGGGAGATTGAGCGGAGAGAGAGAGGAGAGGGAGCAGGGGGAGGACTTGCGTGAGGCCGTTGGAGAGGATATTTTCTATCCGTGACTCATTTACCGTGCATAACCTAAATTCTGGTTTGCTCGTGCCGTGCGGGTCGCCTGCTTGGTCGATTGGTTTCCTTGTGCGGCCGAGATGTTCGTGTGGGAGAGCCAGAACCAGAACAGCTCGCCTGCCTGGACGAGATTGCGTGGGACGGCGGGAGCCAGCCAAAACGGCTCTCGGCTCGCTGGGAGCCGTTTCAATACTGAACTGTTCCGTCCAAAACTTAAGTTTAGCGGATTCTGAATTGCTCCTTGATGAGAAATAAGTTTGCGGGGATTCTGAATTGTTCCTTGATGAGAAATAAGTTTGCTAGGCTACCAAAACAAGAAAAGCAACAGATCTCGTCAATTGCTGAACAACCAAGATTTATATTTAGAATTGTGTTTAGCCGAGCATGCCACATTCCATACAAGCCCACTGAACAAGCAAAAAAAAAAAAAAACTGAAACCAGTCACACATTGTAAAGCATAAAACACAATGTCACATGGAGACACATTCGGCCATGCGCACAACCATCCCTGGAGCCCTTGCACCGAGGGACCAGGGCGATCAGGTGCACAAACCGGGACGCCTCTTATTCTCAGTCACGCATAAGCACGGTAATAGACAATGCTGGGCAACATCCACTGCTGCAAAGGAGATTGGTGGTTTATTCGGAGGTATAAGTAGCCGGGGAAGAGTAGCGGTGACACTTGACAGGGCGCGACTGTTGAATCTGTTTCTTGGAGCTTCAGCTTACGAGCTTCCTCGGAAGGAGAGCCCTATCACCTGGCATCTCGTATGGGCGCCGGAAGGGGTCGGCTGGGCCATGCCACGCCCTGGATCCCACGGGCAAGGGGCGCTTGACAGTGTTCCCATGGGTTCGATACTTCAGATCTGTAGGGAACCTCTCGGAACCCAAACCCGAAACCCTGTTGGGGCCCATTGACAGCTGAGACAGCTTCTCGGCAAGGTCAGGTGCACGAGGGTTCTGATCCTTGGCAAGGTAACTCCCTGCTCAGAGACCAAAGTTTGCAATGTTAGCTCAAAGTAACTAGACCAAAGTTCTTACTTTTCTGATCCACAGAATGTTCAGGAACAGTACTCACCATTGCTCCTTACTGCTGCTGGTCTGGACCAAGACTGATTCATCACGTTCGCCTTTGTCACCTTATGGTTAGTCTCTGGGAGCTGCAAAAGATAATGACAAATATTGAGTTGCTGAAAATGTAAAGCAACCAGCTATATGAACAGCTAAGAGATTATATTCACTTGATGATCCAACTCCAATTTCCTTTGCACACCAGCTGCAACGTTGGCAAGGCAGAAAAGTAAGAACCTCCAGAGGCAAAAGCCACAAATCCTTTAATAAGGATAATAAGGACTGAGTAGGACATGCCAGCCCAAACACATTCCTGCTCTTGCTGGAGTGTTATTGCTCAAGTACGAGTAATTAACTGTTGGCCTCGCATTGGGTACAGTCCCCATGGAGTATCTCGTAATGTTCTTCTGATCCACAGCTCCTTTAGCCCCAGCTGCAGAAGTAGAGATCCATTATGTAAATGTGAACTTGTCCAACAAGGATGCAGTGGTGTTGATGAGGACATCACTTCTACATATACAACCACACCATCTACAGCTATAGTACCATCCATTCCACCACCTGAAGCTAGGCCAGCAATTCATAAAATTTACACAAGAAAAGATCAAAATGTGCTCCTAATCAGGAACTTTGGAGTTGAAGACAAAGATATTTGAGCTGATATTTTGTGTTGTATTTGTGGCTATCCACAGCCAGTCACCACTTGCATCTAGCTAGAGTAGCTAGAGTATACTAGGCTAAACTATTTATTTGTTACTTGTTAGCTATCCAGATTCATGGAACAGCCTCCATTTTAACAGTAGTAATAGACTTAGCTGTCGCCAGTACATTGTACTAGCATGCACTGTAGCGGCAGCTATTTTGGCTATAAAAGGAGGGGTACCTCCATATGTAAGAGTTAGGTTTTGTTTTAGTTCAGTTCCTTTGGAAACTACTACCTGTATTATCTCTTATGTCGGTTAGACCAAGAGACCAATCTCTACTCAAAGCCCCATCTTAATAATTGACTACATTAAGCCCCATCTTAATAATTGACTACATACTTATTATTTCAGATTGCTAGTCCGGCCATAGCTAAGGCCGTTCGTTTCGCCACCCTGTTTTTTCTATAAACGTATGGCGACCTGGGTTCGAATCCCGGTGGGACCTTTTAATCTTCCCTTTTTTTTGTCTTTAAAATTCACGCTCTAATTAACTGATTTCTCATAGAGACCCGCCATGCTAATAGCCAAATTAGAAACAAAAAAAAAGACACATTAAAGGCAACCCATCTTGCGAAGCAGCAACAGGGAATGTAGCTGTGCCTGATTGAGACCAATGCAATGCAAACGTGCCGACTGAACCTATTACTGGATGGTAACTTTTCTTTTCCGTGTCAAAACAAAAGGGCCAGGTCAACTTACATCATCACTAACAAAGTAGGCGACCAGCCTGTGAACACGGCTTAACCCAGCGATGACCCACCTGCTTTGAAAGGCAAGGCTGACTCAAACACGAAATCGCACACCCGTTCTGCGTTTAGTGGCTAGTCTTTGTCAAATCCACGGAACAATTTGACCGCAACAAAGCTGTTACTGTTAGTATAGTCAACGGTTCTAGATATGCAGTAGCCAAGAGTCGTGATTACTGACAAGAAAATCTGTTGCCTGCTGGTAGCTTCAGAATGGGTTGGCCCGTGTATCGAGCTTTTCTGTACACAATTTGCGGCGTCTTTGTTGGAATGCTTCCAGAATCCAGATCACCTCCGAAGAAGGGAAAGAGTTAAGCTAACAATGAGAGAGCATATATTTTTTTTTCAAAGCTTGATCTAGTATTCCACCCAGTTGACATCCAAATCCTTCAGCTTCAGGAGCCATTTCTGTGCATCTGAGGAAACAATGCCTTTATCAGGTTTCACCCCGTGCTTCTTTGCCATCTCAGATGGGGATTCAGACCGGCTCTCATCATCCAAGTCGCCTTGCCTTCTAGGACGTCTTAGTTTAAGAGAGAGAAGGCGCGAAACCTCCTGCACCCCACCCCATTTTTCCAATGCCCGAGCAATGTCGTAGCGACCTACCAACAGAGCATGAAAATCAGTTCAAAAGCCAGACAAGGAAACTTCATGACACGACACCAATCTAACTTGCAAATCTAACCTGACAACAGGAGCCATTTTCTGTTTTTCATGTAATGATGGTATAAAGCTAAAGACATTTGTGCTAAAATGAATAAAAAAGTAGCATGAAAGTGCCACAATACTATTTTGTTTTTCATTTTCCAACAATGGGCTTCAGATATTACCTGCCCTCTCAAAAGATTTTCTACTTGGCATATAAGAAGGATCCATCCCCAACTTTTCTGGAACCGGCTGATCTGTATATAGTGATCAGATGCTGATGTCAGAAGTTGAAGAAAATGTTGAATACAGCATATGACGTTATAAAATTCAATGGGACAGAGTCAGAGTGCTAGCTTTCATTCATACTAGAAATATAAGTGGACAAGTTTTAACTCTATTTGCAATATATGGTGCAAAACTATTCAAAGATTAAAAATCATGGTTATACCTGTATTCTTGTGCTAGAATGGATATCTGATAAGCACAGGAGGAGCTAAAGATATATAGTATTACCTCTTCTTGCAAGTTCTCCAGATTATCCCAATAGCCTCTTGGTTTTCGATTTTTGTAAGAAAGAGAAAGGTTCATTATGCTGGCAATCTTCGGAACCCACCCATTCGTGTTATTGCCTTCTCGATATCCACCCTTCCATGAGACCGAGATGCTTTCTCTTAGGCATGAAACCATACTGACCATACTCTGCAATGAAATTCTCAAGCTCTGATTTTAGGACCTCAATGTCCTTTTGCAACCCTGGGACTTTTGGTCTCTGCTTCATGGTACTGGATGAGCAAGACACAGATGCTTGCTCAGATTGCCTGCTTTCAGCATGATAAGCATCTGGGTCTATGGACAAATCAGAATGAGCTGTGGAGTTGCTACCCTTGGTTCCAGCCTTTTCAATATAATCACGGATTGCACACAAGTTTGATGGAAGATCTTCATATATGACCTGTAACAGATTGATGAAAATGAACAGTCTGCTTTACTATCTCTAAAGACATTAAACTTTATCAAAGCATTCAGCTGAAATAATCATCAAGGCACCACATGCAATTAATCCAAGTAAGAGCACGAAAAAAATCAGCCTATTGTCAAAAGCAAGTAAAAATGTCAGAAACCATGATAAAAATTTTGGTGTCCTAACTGCTACGGAATGTAGTCACCTGGAATGTGAAGAGCTGAAGATACAACATGACTTGTAAAACAAATGCTGTTAAAATACCTTCAAGCTTTTAATTTGGATATTTGAGAAGCGTAAGCCACCAAGAAAATGGAAAACCGATCCCTGTTAGGTTCTTTAGAGATAATTAAGTTTAAACCAACCAAATATGAAAATTTAACTATAGTAAGCTTATACCATTTGAGATGGCATGAAGTATATACCCATTACCATGCAAAGCACTTGTATAACCAAAACAGAATACAGTGTGCACATAAAAGCCTACTTTAATCATCTTAAGCTAAGCGAAATGTTATATGAATTAAAGAAAATGCATATATGGCTCACCTCTTCAAGGATAGACTCAGAGAGAAAGGTGTCCCTATGCATCTTAGTCTCAACCATGTACTTCAACAGGGTGTGCTGATCCCCAAGTTGTTCTAAGCGCCATTTCCCTTTAAACGAGTAAAAATCACCCTCAACTTGTTCAAACCTGATCTCTTGCTCAAATTTTTCACGAAGATCCATAACAACACGGGCGTGAAGGACCATATACAGCAGGCCTTTGCAACCCTCCTAGAAAAATGATTTCAAAAGATATAATGCTTGAAAAAGAAAACAAAGACTATCAGACTGAATTTACAGAACTTTCTTTCAGATGAGCACAATGAAAACAATAGAGTGAACCAAAACCAGGACACAAGACAAAACTGTGTATGACTTGAGGACTTTTTTATGCTGTGCAGTAAAAATAAAGGACAACCTAAGCCAGGACTACTTCATATGTTCTAGTAAAAAACAGTTAACCACAAAATATGACAGAAGAGAACCACATATTCTACCTGCATTATGCGGACCTTGTTATTATCACGAAGAACAATCCTACTGATAGCCAGGTTTGGTACGAATCTATCAAATGATTTTTGTTAGATCATACCTGTAATAAAATAAGAATGTGAACTCAAAAGATTGTAGAAAGATAGAACTACTTACTCGGGCAAATTCTCATATGCCGTGAGAACACTCCATACCTCTCGAACTGGTGCTTTCACAGTGATACTAGCAAAGACACACCTATGAGCCCCCTCATGTTCCTTCATGCACACCGTATCACAGGATAAGACAAAACTTTAATGCCCATCCCTTGATGGCTAAGAATCCAATAAGTAATGATATAAGTTTAGTAAATTACCAACATGCCATCAAATCTTCGAAGATGGATCTCATCTACCACGCAAGGCCTATCAATTCTGCATACGTTTCCATATACACCCCATTTGCTAATCAATTCAGAAGCAGGTGATGGAAGCACACTGCTAACACCAGAAGTGGGAGGTGCTTCTTTAAATTTACTAGAAGAAGTATCAACTGTCGTACTATGGAATTTATCAAGCTGAGAAGAAGTAGATGATGGCTTCAAGTCCTCAACAGAGAATTTTCTCGAACCACAACTTTGATTTTCCAGATAAATCTTTTCAGCTCTACAAGCCAAGGCACCAAGATTTACAGGAAGATCTGACCTTATAATCTTTTCAAGAAATATAGCCGGGAAGTTAAATCTTGGTATCACATTAACTTCATACAGCAAAACTGCACTAGAGGACCTGCTAGCAAACAAAAGCAAAATAGGCCATATTAGACTTAATCTCCTTTTCCGCTCACTAGAAGTTGGAGACCTCTTTAAGGAATAATGAAAAGAAGGAAAATTGTTTTTAGTCTGGGGCATCATGGTGATGCAAATATAATCTAGTGATGAAATTAAGCTGGATGTTCATCAAAAGAGAAGCAATAAATAAGGTAGTAAATAAGATGCATGTACTTATGTCTTTATTGATTTACCTCCCATCCCACCTATCCTCAGAAATAAAATGATAATCAGATGCATACCTTGGACCAGATCTTATGGACCATTTTCCTTCAAACTTCTTGAAGTCACCATCTACCATCGAGAAATGGAGTTCTCGCCCATTGATCTGAAAGCATAATCATGAACGAATAATCAAGTAAGGCAATGTATGTAACTTAACATGGAATAGAAAATGGAGGAGATCCATCATCGTTTTTCGTATTTGCTAATACAACTAAGAAATATATCAGAGAGAAACACAATAGCACAGCTCCACAGCAAGAAGAAGAACACATGCTGAAAAAACACAAATGTTGCATTCACACCCTCATGGACTGGCCAACTGATCATCTACTAGTACTTTTTCAGTGGCATTTCACATAAAATTGTCGGCGATGACAAATGTTGGATACTCCAAAACTGTTCCATTGCAAGTTAGCAGTTAATGGAAGTCAATCTGCGACAGAACGTACGGAGTCATGGATTTCCTGGAGATCCAACACGACGCGCGCCTCAATGTGCCAGTACAACGCTTGCTGCAGGCCTCTCTGCTCAAGCCATATCCGCCCTTCATGCGGGCATGGAATCGTCCCACTGCAAGCAAGCACGAACAAAACCACCCCAATCAGACACATTCAGAAATCAGAAGGACCTGACCATCAGTGCAATCACAGTTCAGACGCGACAAATCGAAACAAGAAAATGCGAACCTCTGGACGAGGTTGGGGATGAAGTCGGCGAGGCGCTCGTAGTCGGTGATGACCTGCCACAGGGTGTCGACGTCGGCGGCAACGGGTACGGACGCGAGCACCCGCCGCTCCCGCCACGACACCACGTCCACGTCGCACTTCACGCCGCGCGCCGACGCGGGGGGCCCGGCCTCCGACGCGCCCGCGCGTCCTCCGTGGTAGTGCTGGTGGTCGGCGCCCCAGTGGTCCCCTGTGGCGGCCGCGGCCGCGGCGGCGACGGAGCGCCCGGCCCGCGAGAGCGCGGAACGGGAGCGCGCGCGCGCGAGGGCTGGGGCTCGAGATCCCCGGGAGGAAGGAGGCGGCGGGCGAGGCGAGAGCTCTCATCGCTCGTGCGCTCGAGTCGAGCGGGAGAGTGTACTTGGCCACTGGGAGTCGTGTTGTACTTGTGCCTGCCGAGGAAGGAGGAGACGCGCGCGGTGACCGGGGAGCCGTTCGCTGTCTCGAAGGACCGCCGGAGTCTCTGCCGAGTGGGATCTGCGGTACGGTCCCACATGTCGGTGGCGTGGCTTGGGTCGACGGCGACAAGCGATTGTTTCTGTTGCGACGGTGAGAGGCGAGTGGGGGACGTGTGGCGGGAAGGCGAGGAGGTACCGTAGCCACTCGTGGCGCGTGGGGACTGGTCCCACGTGTCAGTATCGTTTTAGTTGGATGAATCTTCTGTGGGGTTGGGATGTCAGTGCGTGTGCGGTCCCGGCCGACGTGGCCCGTCCTGCCCATTTGGTATAGCCTCGACCAGGCCCAGCCGCTGCTTAGCACGCGCACGCATGGACGGACCGACGGACATCGGGCTGGGTCGTCCAGTTGCAAACATAAACCGGCCAAATCTGTAGGCCCAGTCAAGCCAAAAGGCGAGGAAACCCGAAACCCGGCATAGGCTCTATTTGGTTATAAGCTTCTTCACCAGCTTGCTGAGCTGTTTGAAATTATTTATGCCAAACATGTTTTTGCAAACAGCTTTATGGATAAATCTTTTGAAAACCTGGGGAGTTGCTATATTTCGATCGCTTTGAAATATATGAACCATCTCAAAGCGATGTCCAGGCCCTTGGATGCGCATCTAAGGATCGGATCGTTCTCCGTTGTTTTTCTGTAGCAGGCAACAAAAGCGGGTCCATAAATGAACCCATAAACCCAACCAAAGCAGCTACCGGGCCCGCCAAACCTTAACGGGTGCAAGATCCGATACCGCTATATCAAATAACTACTCATTCGAGCCACAAAGCGACTATTCGGCCCAATAAAGCAAGGTACGTAAATTACAGCTCGCCCTTTGCACCCTCCAAAGAAGAAAGAAACACCTCCGATCAATCTGGATCTAGAAGGGGAATTAGAGTGGAGAGAAGAGCGAAAATTAGAGAATAAATGCACAGGTAAAACACAAGAAGATGAATAAGGGCAAAGGATATGATCTGCCTAGGAAAAAGGTACTAACCAGCAAGATTATTCTATTTCTTGCCTCCATCTCCTTTTTCTCATTGCATCAGCTCACTGAAACACCTGAACCGTAACCATCTTACTTCTGTCTTCTTTGTTGCTGTTGTTATAGCTCTATAGTTATCCAAAGTAAAGTACACTTGTCAAACCGATTTAGATTTCCAGTTATCTGTCTCCAACAATTACAAATCATAACAGTGACCATAGAGCAAATCTAGTGGGATCCATGCCTACATGGTGGTTGATGACTATAAGAACAATGTGTTATGAACCTAGGCAACTTGTATAGGATTTAGGGGCAACTTGTATAGAATTCAGAGGCAACTTGTAAAGGATTTAGGGACAACTTGTATAGAATTCAGAGACAACTTATATAGGATTTAGGGGGAACTTGTACAGAATTCAGAGACAACTAGTATAGGATTTAGAGGTAACTTGTATAGGATTTTGGGGAAACTTGTAAAGAACTCAGAGGCAACTTGATCACAAATTGATCAACTTGTGGAATTCCTTGCACATGACAGAATTGCCATAGAGGCAGACACCCTTCTTTTTTGCTTGTTTGTTTTGGTTGTAAGTTTAGATGACCACCACAAATGTCACCGCTTAATCGGCTAATTTGCAATGCAAAAGATCTTCTTACACCTAAAAATAACGGTTTGTTGCATGTTTATCTTGAGTTCTAACGAAGGACCGCATCAAATAGGAGATGAAGACTTCTTAAGGGAAATGGGTATTTGATGCACTGAAGGATAACCTGACTAAATAGGTTTACAGTGTTCTAAACTAGTAAACTTATATTCTTCGAAAGTCTTGACACGAAGAAGTAGTGACCAAATAGCTAGTACAGGAAGTTCGGGAAGGAAAAAGTGCAGGATCTTACATGATCGCCTCCTTACTTGGCCAAAATAAGGTCCAATAGTTCAGCACCCTCACATAGTCTGCAAAAATAGAAGGTAAGAGTTGGTTTTATGTATAAAGACAAATGGTGACTGTGGTGACTTAAGACTTCATATTTAAGAGTTAGCTCAAGCAAAACAAAGAGATGGGGAACATCTATTTGAAATCACAGGATCATTTATGCAATTATTAGCTACATTTTAGAATAAGGAAGGTCCTAGGGTGTGTCTTTGGCACAATCACAATTAACAGAATACAATTTTACTATAGAAAACAAAGACACATATTTGAAATGTGTTACCACAAATCACAAAAACAATTTTTTTTTTCTATGAAAGGACACAAACAAAATGCGGTGTGTGCTAGCACAAATCACAATAAACAAAGGACAAGGACAAATCTGTTTTGTGTGTGTTGCACAAATCACAACTAATAATTTTTTTCTATAAAAGGACAAGGACAAAAATGTGTTGTGTGCTGGCACAAATCACAATAAATAAAGAACAAAAATATGGGCAAACGAAAGAAGTATATGGGTGACCAAGATCAATATTTGGATGGCTAAGTAATTTCTTGTTGACACTAGGCGATGGTTGTGAGCTCATGCGTTCAACAACCGAAATGCCTATCACCTCTATCTCTTTAACTCGGTCCTTTTTCAGATGGGAGCAAGTACATTGTCCTGCATGCAACCAACAGAGTAACTAGCGAATTAGTCTCACCACAAGGTGAGTGATTCGACTTGTATCCTGATAAATAAAAAAAATTGGCAAACCAAAGAAGCAGATGGAATTTTGATGAAAACTTTCCAGATTTACTTAGCCTTCACTTATTCAGATACACTTGCAGAATATATAGATCAGTTAGCAGAAAAAAGACAAAATGAGGAGGCAAATAGTTCAACACAAACATATTGCATACGCTTCAGAATTACAATTGCGTGTGCGATACTTGCAATTTACATTATAGCTTATTGCAATTTACTACTTATAAATGTGCAATCAAGAAATGGATACTAAACACAACTTTCTTGTATAGTATAATAGAGTTAAAAGATGTGAGTTCCTGATATTCTACTATAACAGCCACAACCACAAGACAGCCCAGCTATCAAAAACCAACTACAAGTGTACACCTTCCACAGAGCAACATCAGCTACCTGTCACACAGGGCAATATATAACCTGTAGCTGCATGTTGGCTGTGGGAGATACATGGTCAGATATGTGATTTACTCACAATGTGACCAAATAACCTCCCAAGGTCATATATAGCCAAGAAGAGGATAATACAGACAATTATTCAAAATTAAACTACCAAATGTATACACATGGAGGCAGCTAACATGATTCCATCAGTATGTTATACTTATACTCAACAAGGTACAAAGATTATAATTATTATCTATAGAAATACAAGGACAAAAATGTGGTCTGTATTGGCACAAATCACAATTAACATATAAAAAATCTATAGAAGGACAAAGACAAATATTTGAAATGTGTTGGCAAAAAACAATTTTTGACAAGGATAAAAATATGGTGTGTGCTGGCACAAATCAAAATAAACAAAGGACAAAAATATGAGCAAACGAAAGAAACATATGGACTAACCAAGATCAATATTTGGATGGCTTCAAGAATTTTGTAGTGGCACTAGCCGATGGTTGTGAGCTCGTGCTTGACAACCGAAGTGCCTGTCACCTCTTCAGCTCGGTTCTGTTTCAGATTTGAGCAAGTGTAACACCCTAAAATTTGAATTTTTTTAAATAGTAAATTTGATTTAAATATGCAATTATATGTGCATTTCAAATATAGGAAATAATATTTCTTTTATGAAATTAAAAGAAAATACAAGAATAGAAACATGTTGATGCATTCATGCTATTGCATATTTATTTCTGTGACGGGTGGTTTTGTTCAAATGCTAAAAGATTTTAAAAACCTTTTGAAAATGAGTTTGAAAATTTTATTTATAAAAAGAAAAAGGAAAATTCCTTCCATTCCTCCCCTTCCTCTCATTCGCCCATGGCCATTTTCTTTCCTGCTGCCCAAAGACTACAACCACTGGCCTTGACCCACCCTTTCCCTTTCGTGACCGAATGGCCAAGAAATTCTTACCCAGCCAATGACCAAGCCATAGCGCCTCGGCGTTGCCCGCAGACCAGCAACCGCCCACGCCCGACCACGACGCCGGGCCCCACCTGCTTGGCGCCGCCCCAACCTCCCAGCGTCCTTGCGCCGCTCCCGGTCAAGGCGGAACCAGATTCGCCGCCCCTGGCGTCGTGGGAGCGCCCTCGTGCCCCTCTCACCTCGTTAAAAAGCAGCCGAGCCCCCCCCTCGTGCGCCCCGCTGCCCGCTCTCACGCCCGGGAGGCCCCACAGAACTGCTGTTCGAGGTCGTGGATTTCGCCCGTCCACCTCAAGGCGGCGTACCGTCTCGAAGCCGTATCCGCCTCCGATTTTCGCCCGTGGTGAGCTCGCCGTGGTCCCTCTCTCTCCCCATGCGTTTCATTTCGCGTTTACGTGGCTTATAGCGCCCAATCCGCGGCGCCGTGAGCTCCATGTTGCCCGGCCATGGCGCCAGCGCCCGGCTTTCCCCGCCGCCGTCTTCTCGACCCGCACGACCCCCTTCTTCCCCGAGCTCTCGGGTGCCCTCGGTTCCCGTTTGGCGGACCCTAGCCCCCCTATCCGAGCTCGCTGGCGTGTTCTTTGTCACGCCATGGCCATGGCTAGCCTCATGGAGTCCCCTGTTCGGCCGGCCAACCCCTCTCAGCCGATCCGAACCGTCCATCGCGTGATCTACTACCGAAATAGAAGATACCCTTGAGGGGTAAATTTGCTAAAGAGCCCCTGGATTTTTCTAAGTCCTAACCCGCCGTCCTTAGCGTATTTCCTGAATGCGCAATCCCGTTAGAAAACGTAAACTTCTTTGCTTAAGTCAAAAGTACGCTTTCAAGATTTATTCTGAAATGCCATTAATCATTTCGCTT